ACCCTCTTTCGTTTCTTTAGATTAACAGCCATGGGTATTTGTGCCCTTCCCAATGGTCGACCTAAGGGAGTTATTAGGTTTTCTTCTACCTCATTAGAATGCTCCCTATCATCTTCATCATCATTATGTAAAGGTCTATTAAATCTTGTCTCAACCCCCTCCAAATATCTTGAGCAGAATGTTAAACACTCATTTGACAAATAAGCTTCTGCAATTGATCCCTCTGGATGAGCTTTATTAGAAACATAATTCTTAAGTGTAAGGAGAAACCTAGAAACAATTAAGAAAATCATAAATTAATCAACGTTTTTTAGATTTGTTACAAATTAATGAATAAATTATCACAAAAATAAAAAATATTAAAAATTAAACTAACAGTTCAATGGGGTACATCCACCTATAAGCAACTGGCCCACCAAGCTTTACCTCTTCTGCCAAATGCATGATAAGATGCACTATCACAGTGAAGAATGAAGGTGGGAATATCTTTTCCATTTCACACAATTATTGCAGATTGAGACTTTAACTCATCAAGATCATATTCTTTGAGAACCTTTGCACACAAGCATTTGAAAAGGTGACACAACTCAATAATAATTGAAGCAACTCTTTTAGGCAAAGACCCTCAAATTGCCACTGGTAAAAGTTCTTCCATAAGAATATGGCAATCGTAACTTTTAAGTCCTATTATCTTCCATTGTTTAACTTGAACACAACGGGAGATATTACATGAGTATTCATCTGGAAATTTAATGTCCTTTAAGACCTTAAAAAATGCATCCTTCTCCTTTGCAGTCATTTGATAACAAGCTTTGGGCAGCAACTTAGAGTTATTGCTTGATCCTGGTTTTGGATGTAGATCAACCCTCAACCCCATATCATGGAGGTCACAACGTGCTTTGTAATTGTCTTTTGTTTTTCCATCTTGGTCAGTTATTGTTCCATAAGTGTTATCGAAGACATTTTTCTCAGTGTGCATCATATCAATGTTGTGGGGAAGTAGATTGTGCTGCCAATAAGGAAGAGTGAAGAAAATACTAATCTTTTTCAAAAGGTTGACTTGACTCCCCTTCCATTATATTCACATCATCTGCATGACTCAAAATTTCTGATCCGAATATTCGACCTGGTGGCATTCGAAGCTCCTTATTTCCATCAAAAGATTTTTTATCATGTCGATACCTGTGCCTTCGATCTAACCATCTCCAATGGCCCATATAACAATATTTCCTACTGTGATATAACCACATAAATTTTGTGTTATAACCACAGCATGGACAAGCCTTTTCCCCCCTAGTACTCCACCCAGACAGCATTGCACGAGCTGGAGAGTCATTGATGGTCCACAATAATGCAGCTCTCAAATGGAATCTCTCCCCTTTAAAAGCATCAAAAGTTTCAATTCCAGCGTCCCATAGTTGTTGTAACTCTTCAATGAGTGGCTGCATGTAGACATCAATTTTGTTTCCAGGACTTTTTGGACCAGGAATCAACAGTGACAGTATCAAATTAGGTTGCTTCATACATAGCCAAGGAGGCAGGTTGTATGGAATTAGTATAACAGGCCAGGTGCTATATGTGGCATTCATTGACTTCAATGGGTTAAATCCATCAGAAGCCAGACCCAATCTCAGATTTTGAGGATCAACAGCAAAATCTAGATATTTTTCATAAAAATGTTTCCAAGCTAGACTATCTGCAGGATGGCGAATAAGTCCATCCTTAGTCCATTCTTCATCATGCCATCTCATAAGTGAAGCAGTTTTTGAAGACATGTATAGCCACTGTAATCTTGGGATTAAAGGGAACCATCGTAAGATCTTAGCAGCTTTTGGCTTTTTCTTTTTCATTGTGCAATCTATGGAATCTTCTTCAATATTTGTGTTAACAATCCACCTCGAAGCACCACACTCATAACAGAAATCATCATTAGCTTTATCTTTCCAAAACAACATGCAATCATTAGGGCAAGCATGTATTTTCTCATAACTTAAGCCTAAACTTCTAATGATTTTCTTGGTTTCACTATAAGACTTAGGTAACACATTCCCTTCTGGTAGCAAGAAGCTCAAGTACTCTAATAATTGAGTGAAAGACTTATTACTCCACCCATTTAAGCATTTTAGGTGAATTATATGCACAACAGCAACTAACTTATTCTCTTCACAATTGGGGTATAGTTTCTGCCCAGCATCCTTCAACAAATTAAAAAAGCCATCCATATCATTTCTACACATGGAAGGTTCTTGGTTTGAACCCTCCCTTCCAGAATTGAAACTATCTACAACCTCATTGGGGATGCTATCTTCCATATTAACCCCTGCAAAAGCATCTTGTAGCAACCCTCTCATATCATGATTAAAAGCTATTTCCTCTTCATTTCGATTTTCACTAGAATTCACCACTGCAGAATCCTTCTCATGAGAAATCCAGTTATAATTTCTAAGAAAACCCTTTTCTACTAAATGATCAACAACCTCTTCTTTACTACACCAAATTAAGTTTGCACATCTCCTACAAGGGCACAATATTTTCCCAGCTTTTGCAGATTTCTCAAATGTAAAATTTACAAAATTCAAAATTCCTTCTATGTAATCTGGACTTGAGGTTTCTTTCGAGTTTATCCATGTTTTATCCATAGTGATAAAACAATAAAACTGTAACCAACAAATTAAAACCAATGAAAACAGAGAAAACAAAAAAAAAAATTTTAAATAAACATTTGGATAACTTTTTTTTATCCATAGTGATAAAATGATAAAACTGTAACCAACAAATTAAAACCAATGAAAACAGAAAACAAAAAAAAAAATTGAAGTAAACATTTGGATAATTTTTTTTTCCATAGTGATAAAATGATAAAACTGTAACCAACAAATTAAAACCAATAAAAACAGAGAACAAAAAAAAAATTGAAGTAAACATTCAGATAATTTTTTTTTATCCATAGTGATAAAATGATAAAACTGTAACCAACAAATTAAAACCAATGAAAATAGAGAACAAAAAAAAAAAATTTATTCATTTTTTTTAATAGCTTGCTTTATTCATTTTCTAGAAAATTTTACTTCCCTAAAACAAATAACATGAGCCTTAACATTCAATAATATGTCATTTTGATAAAAGAATCACTAAAACAAACATGAGCACATGGTAGAAGGTTTAGTTCCTTATAATTTTTTCCCGTTATGGAATAGTTCAAATGCTTTTGTAGTATTCTGTTGTCAACTTTATAGAATAACTCAATAACTCAGTCTCATTTAAATATGGGTTTTTTTGTTTTTCTTTTGTTTTGGTTTGTTATCATTGAAGACGAAAAGGGAGAAGAAGAGAGATATGCATTTTCCCATGAGGAAGCATGCCATTAAGGTGTAGGATAGTTTTATTAGTTAGAATTCTATTATGAAAATTTAAGACAAGAGAACCAACGAGGTTGACTAGCATTAATAAATTGCTCCTTAATCTATTCTTAAGCTAAAATTGTATTTTGGGTTTGAACTGTCTAGGAATTAGTCAAACAGTAATAGCTGCTAATCAAAGATACATTGCCTAAATTCAAATTATTATTCAACTAAGCAAAATACAACTATTGTTTGGTTGCATAGCAAAAGGACCAACCAACAAAAGACACTAGATCAATAGCATTAAAGAAAGAAACTATAATCAGAAAGAAAGAAAGAAAAAGAAGAAGCAATTACCAACAAAATTAAACTACATTTGAATTAGGAACAAATCAGCACAAATTAACAAAATTACAAGTGCATTAGGTATTGACTAACCTTCTTCTTCTCTAAGTAAAACCGAAGGCTACTCTCAAGTGCTATTTTTAACAGGATCCTCAACAGATCTGGAAATTAATAGCAGGAAGCCAAGAATCCAGAGTTAACCACCAACCAAAAATTCTAAACTTGTCCAGAAAAATAACAAAATAACTGAAATTTACTCTGTAATATTTTGAAAAACAAAAATTGCAAATAAGGGATCAAAGGACTATAATATGTTTTCTAGCTAAAATAAGGGTAGTGTCAAAATGCATTTCCAATGCAGCAAAAAATAAAGAAAAGGAAAAAGAACAACTTAACAATCACAAAATTAGTGTAACAAGTCGACCAAACTTAGGTCTCCATGTGATTGATAGTGATCTGTTTGGAATAATAATGAATAAAATTAAAACTAAAAATTAACAAGCCAACCATTTCATCTATAGTTCCATATCTAATTGTACATCATCATATACTTCAAGGCTAATAATGAATAATAATGAATAAAATTAAAACTAAAAATTAAAAGTAAGAAGTCAATTTCTGAAACAAAGGATTATCTGCTGCTTTATTTTTTATTCATTTGATGATTAGGCAATGCATTAGAAAATATACTTCCTAACTTTATTCATTTTACTGAACTTCATCTATGACTTCAACAACAAGTTGAAGTGATGACAAGGTATCTCTTAGTAAAAGAAGTTCAAGAATTCCATTGTTGCAATCAATATCTAAATGAATCCTCTAAGATTACAGAGTGAGGCAGCAAACATACTTTAACCTCAAATGGGTGAATTAGGTGAACAAAATTCCAAGGAATACATATCAAAAACAAAATGTCAACAAAATGAGATGTTGATATATATATATATACACTTATGTGGTGTCTAACTAAATATTCAATTACCTGATAGGTTTAGTTGCCAAGGTGCTTCCACCTGATATCAATAGCAAGCAAAGATACTGCATAACATTCTGTCCTTGACTTGAAAAATCGCTAAGATCTTGTGTTGCAAGCAGCACAAGAATGCTGATTAAAAAAATGGGAGAAAGCACACATAAACACAGGTTGCAAGAAATCCAATTCCTTAAAGCAAAGAAATAGTTAGGTAGCATTTGATTGGATTAAATATAGATTCATATATAGCATCCTGAGAAGGAAGAAAGAAGGGGGGGTTTGGGAATGCTTCAAAAAAAATACAGCAAGACATGATTTTCCAGCATTCAAGTTCAGCATGCTCTCTAAGGTAAAATAAGTTAAATAACAGAATAAGAAATTTAAAAACAAAAGGCACATAAGTATTAAACCAATAATCAAAACTTCTAAACTCATTATTACATTGTCCAGGGCATCCTAAAGTTGGATAGGTACAATGGCCCATAGAACACGTCATTAAAGTAAAGAAATAGTTAGGTAGCATTTGATTGGATGCTCATTATGTTTGCCATACGGTTTCTTTTAATTACTTGGATGCTCCTCAGTTTTTTTACTTTTTTCAGTATTGTTCAATTTGTTGGTCGTCTATCTTTCTATTATTGTTTTTGAATTCTAACCCATTTCAAATATTTAAATAATCTAATGGGGCACTAATATTCATCTTTTGAATGAAATTTCTTATTGCCTTGTATGTGTAATATGCCTTTATTTGATTATTATTAATATAAGAAATTATTACCAACTTTAATACAATAGTTGTCACTTCTAATAAATTGATCGAGTAGATTAATTCTTTCCACCAAATAGTAGGTTTTTTTTTTTAACATTTGATCTATACAAAAAATGATAGTATCCTTATTTTTTTTAACCACTCTTCACCTCACCTATTTTAAAATTTAAACATGAATGTTTAATTTAAAATTTTAAATTACTATCTATTTGAAATATCTCTTGAAAACTCTAAATGGCAAGTAATAACTAAAAGTAGGCCTTCATAAAACCAACAAAAATGAACCTTATTGTTCAATTTGCCTCAGAGAGGGTGTGATAATTTCTCACAAAAGCATACATATAATTGTTGAAATTCATCATATGCAACTCCAAAAACCAGTACCCGTCCTTATTGGAAAACATGCAATAATATTAGAAAATATATAATATTAGAAAATATGTCATATCTTCCATATAATTAATCAAGAAGCAGTACAATATATATACAAGGCTA